ATATCTTGTCGATCGGGTCACCTATCATAAACAACAAACAAAGTCTTTGCTTGTCAGGCTTTTTCTGACTTTGTAGCAAATGTGACATTTCGGAGATATAATTAACAATAGAACTCTCTAAAGTCAGATTTATTATAAAACAGGACTGTCAAATTCCGCAAATTACACAAAAAAAAAAGTTCCTTGTGACCTGCGATGTCTCGGTGCTGTTATTCAAAATGTAGCTACTAGTGTCATCGTTGAGTAGATATAAGGTTACGAAAGTTTGGAAACAAGTCAATGCTTCTGCTAAGAAATCGAAAGTGTGTAATGAGGAATTTGATGATAATTATGACTTCGGTTAAAAAATTATGCATTTTCCTGCCATTTTCTCTGTCATTTCGCAGCACTTAAAGCATAGGACACATGCGGAAAAAATGGCACCTTTCTGAAAAAATCCTTGGAATATAGATTAACTTCAATGGCCCTAACCTTACTTCCAAAAATTTCATTCTCATAAAACTTAGTCAACGCAGATTTAATTATGAACTGATTCAAAGCTTCGTATGATTCGTAATTAACCCAATTGAATTCACTCTTGCTCGTTGCCAAGCTTTTGCATGTTTGTATCGCGTTAGTGGTTTACTCCTATCTTGAACCGACACTGGCCATATACCGGCATACTAGAAGTATACATGTTTTTTGTTATTGTTTGTTTATACATGAATTTATTTTTACTAATACTAGTCCGAATAGTCCTGCTGTTTTATTCTTAAGAGTCTACTCTATTCAGCTCTCAATTTAGCATAGGTGAATTGCGCAAAGACAATACAATATATTCGGTCATGAAAGGCATTTTTTAGGTGCTGCGGGTTGCCGAAAACGATTAGAAAACGTATTAATAACATGTTCCGCAATTTCAAAAAGATATTTTTCGCAACGCTTTTTTTTAAAACGTAACAACTTCTATAGTTTTCATTGCAACATCTTTAAAATTACATTCTCTTGTGCAGTACTTGGAATATTTTCGATAAATCTTCCGCGAAGTCTTTAAACAATTGGAAAACTCGTACCACAATGACAATGAAGTTTACCATAAGGATAATTGATACGGTTTTAAAATTACAGATTAAATCTTAATTGTTTTCGACATATATTATTACTATTGTTATTATTATTATTATTATTATTATAAATATAGCCAGAGAATAAATTCGAAAACTAAAGTCTTAAAGCACTAGCATCTAAGGCTTTCGGCTTTATTAAAAAGTCTGCCACACTTGAGATTTCAACTCACGACCAGCGATATATAAGCGAAAAGCTTGAAATTTTTTTGCTTGTTATCCGAATTACGACACACGCACAGATTTGGCTTCATCCAACATAGTACTCACGCCAGTTAACATATACTGCACCATCACATCAGTACGTTATAAGCATGAGATTTAATGGAACAGGAAGCCATATTTAGTAAAAAAAAAATTTCTTACCCTTTAAAATTCGAGAGCCGACATCAAAATTTTTATATTCTGCACATATACATATTTTTTAAGATTATTTGTTTTTCGCTTTATTTTTACTCTTTTTCGTAATAAACCGCAAAGACATTTAAATCATACGATAGTTCTAATATACTTTGAAATTTTAAAATCAAATTGACAATACATTCCTTTACTTTTTTAATTTTTATATTCTTTACTTAAATTATTTAAGATCATTTTTTCACTCTAACGTTATGTTTTTTGTAAAAAACTCTAATGACATTTAAACCACTTTATAATTCTAATATGATTACAAATTCTAATAACTAAACTTGGCAGCATTTTCCTCCTTTTTATTTCACAAAAAATAGTAAAATACCTTTATATATTTTTTTTTACTTTCACAAAACAAGATATATTTTTCGAGCTACAAACGAAATTTTTTAAATTGCACTTCTAATTTGCCAGCGCTATTCAATTAATCAAGTATTTTAATATTTCATATCTCGCATATTTAATAAGTTACGAAATTCTTCACTTTCCTTCATCTGCCATTGTGCTAGATACCCCTACACAACTGAAAAAAAGGGAAAAAATTTATCGAAGCAAATCCAGGTACTTTAAAAACTACAGTTATCCCGCTAGTCGCCATTCATAAAATTGTTGCACTTTTAAGGTTTAAAACACATAGTTCCACTATCACCTAAAAAAAAAAAAAGGTTAACCGACCTCTGCGAAATTTGTTTAATATATCTTCTCAAAATTTTTCAAGCTTTCCTCGTTAAACTCTCATTCGACAAAATTGAATGTCTTTTCCATTTTACAAAGTTAGCTTCTTTCAGGGTTTTAAAAATGTGATTCCGCCACTAATGTATTATTGCATATTCTGTCTAATAAACATAAATAAAAGCTCCGATTGAAACGAACTTATCGGTGCTTAATGCATTTATTCGTTTATTATTTTCTCGAAGCACTTTATGTTTTAATTGATTGCAAACTATATTTATAAGCGCAATTGTCCAAAGATGATGCTATCTAAATCAGAACAAGGCAGTGTTGCATTTTTGAATTTTAATATACTCTATAAGTTATTTTAGTTGATTTGCTGCAACGCTGCAAGGCAAAATGAAAGTTTTAATTTATATTATAATTAATGTAATTTGCAACTTCTTCTAAAATGCCGACATTAGCATAGCAAATAAAATAAACTGTACTCTATTTTATATACATATCTTTAACAGTAAATTTCATTATTCCTCATTGAAACTGCAGAACAGCGGAAGGCTTCGTTTATAAAAACTATAACAATAATATTAAACTCTAATTATTAATAGTCCGCCTGAAGAAACAATGTACATATGTCCAACCATGAAAATATCAATTTTATAAAGCAAAATATCGTGTAGAGTAAGACGAGGTCTTCAGTACAAACTTCTAAATCTCACAAATGCATTGAGAAAATTGTTAACACCATAACCTTGCTTGATAGTGATAATAATAATAATATTGTCTCAAGCATGTTAATGTAAAGTCATCAACATAATAGAAAATAAAGTAAAGTATTTACGCACAACTCCCTTTGCACTTTAATAATGCAACTGGTGATAATAATGAGAAGGAAAATGCAATAACAATAGTGATTTCGACAGCAACTGTTGGGATCCACTTAAATTAATACAGTCACGCTGACCAATTCATTAAGTTTACAAAAGCTAATTACCAGCATTCAAATGAAATTACATTAATGGCAAAATATAAAGGCAACTCAAAAAAAACAGAAACGTAAATAAATAAATAAGAGTAAAAACAACAAGTAAATCATTCGGCTTGAAACGAATTGTGATTACTCAGCACCTTAAAAAAGCTTACTAGACATCTTCAAAGTTCTTAAGAATCGATCAGCACCTCTAGAGTGCAATGAATGTTTCGTTATGTTTGAGAAATTTTTAGCCTTGGAAAATAACTTAGATTAGAATGAAGTTACTTTAGTTAGGTTCAGAATTGTTTTTTTTTGCAGTTTTTGCAGATTGTTAGCCACTGATTGAGGCTGATGCATGGGATGCTGCGAGTATAAAATTACTGATTCTCTGTCAGTTACCCCAAATTTTTAAAAGAAAATTTATTTTTTGTCAAGTGTGCACGCTACAGGCGCTACTTGAAAATCCGAGCTTCTTGAACTTTAATCTTCAACTATAGAATTGTGAGGTGTTATCCCATGTTTCATGTTGCTGCTATGGATATTTCACCAACTAGATGGATGAATACAGAATTCCACTCTAATTAAGTAAATATACATATGTTTCAAGATCTTTTTCATTTTTCGATTGCATTGTGTTACAAACATAATGGCTAAATGAATGTGCGTTCACTTTTTCGTAAGCTTTAATGAACCTTGCAGACTACTACAAAATGACAAAAAATATTTTAAGTAAATATTTAGTTTGTAGTTTATATAAACATAGACGTAAACGAGAAAATGAATGAAATGTCTCACGGAGTGAAGGTTTGTGTTGACGTAGATGCGTAGAAGACTAAGTGACAAAATGCATTCTACATAATTCTAAGAATTACCCTGGCGTGTGATAAAACTAATTATGTGCAATAATCAAGCAATAAGGCCAAGTAACCAGCCAGGCAGTCAGCCAGCCAGCCAGCCAGCCAACCAACAGTCACTTCAACTGTTCAGAGTAAATGAACGAACGCTTGAATACAATAGAATGAAAAAGAAGCGGAGGCAATAAAAAAAAAACGCACAAAAAGGCAACTGCGAAATAATGGCTGGGTCAGAGTAAAGAAAAAGTGTCAACATTGCTTTAATGTGTAGACATTAAGTGGAAAATTACATTTTTTCTTTATTAGCTTCTAACACTTTTTTCTTTTCTTTTCATATAAGTGCCTAGATTTATTCTTGTTTATAGAAAGTGGAGGAGGGCGATAATATGGTCGATTTATAATTATGATTGTACTGCGTAACATTTAAGGAATCAAAGGCAGTATATAAAAAACATGGATTCATATTTGCTAAGAGTCTGGAAGGTTGAGGGCTAATAGTTCCGCATGGCTCTTCAATCAAAATTTAATGGTTTCTAAAATTAACCGAGTAACTTGAAGTGTTGAGCATATGGCTTTGGATAATTTATGAAGATGTAGCGCAAAAATCTGATCACAAATACTTGAACATACCCTATACATAGATTAATACCTTAATTTTTAACTTCTATTACATATCTGTGTAAGAAATTAGAAAGTTACTGTCAGCCCCCAGAGAGCATCTTCTATACACACTATTTAGACAAGAGGGCATTTAAGAACCGCCCTAAGGTTCACACAAGTTTCTTAGATTTTTTTCTTTTTTTTTTATTATTACTATTGTTTTACTATTTCCTTTTTTCCGTAATTAGTTAAACATTATGTTGTAATTTATTTTAATTTAAAAGTTCTTTTTTTTTAAGCAGATTAACATTAAATACGGTTTTATGGTTTAATATAAAAAAACAGAAAGGAAGAAAGAAAAACGGTAATAAAGTTTTTTAAACTTACCATTTTTAAAAGTGTTCATTAAACTTTCTGAATCCAAGCCATGATGACAATTGAACAGGGATGTGTCGAGCAAATCTTCTGGTTTATAGCCCAACAAGTTAAGCATTCTGAAATAAAGATTTTTCAAATTAACTATTATTAAGCAAAGAGCTAAAAAGAAAAATAACGATTCAGCTTACTTGTCATCGACGTAAGTGAAATTCATGTTTAGCGAATGTTTAGTTAAAAATGTGGTGCTACCAAGCGGTATCTCTATATTTGAGGGATGAGGTATAGGACGTCCTACAGCCACCAGGACGCTCTTACCCTTATTACTCAAAATCGAATGTCCCGTAATATGTATAACCTGAAATAGAAAATTTAGTTTAAATAACTACTGAATAAAGTAAGCACTTTTCTTCTTCTTCTTTTTATACCTTATACGAAGCACTTTTGATATTAATGCTACGGCCACGACTTGTTAAAGTACATTTCAAGCGTACGAAAGCATCGCGATGATCAGTGGCGATACCGTCGTTCAATAAATGTTCTTCTTTAACTTTCTCAATCGTGCCGTTACGTTTTACGTTTAATAGATCTTTAAGTTCAGCATGATCGCACTGATGAGCGTACTCCCATATTGGTTGACCCAAAATATCAATCTAAGATAAATTAAATTATTAGTTCATTATTGTATAATGAAAGATCATTAATCAAGAAGAAGTTAGTCAACAAGTTACATACCTTCGTTATACCTAAATAGTCACTAACGTTATCGGTGACATAAGCAAGATCACCGTCACTAGTTAAGATCAAAAGAAATCCATCTAAGGTTTCTTGCAACATTTGATTGAATTCGTTGTCCTCATAAGCATTTATCTCTTGTTTAGGCAATATTTGCTCTGATGCGGGTGAAATTAAATCATCCTCATCGGCTGATAGAGTCGATTGGGAGCAAGCATCTATATCCGAACTGATAGGATTAACCGAGCAATCGTCATCTTTAATTTGACTGCTGTTCAAGACATCGGATAACTGTTGTCTGTTGGGAACTGCAATGAAATATTACAATATGGATATTGTATGGTGTTCTCATCTAACTATGGCTTACTTACACATATTCAAGGCATCTCTGAGTTTCAAATACGCTATAGCTATGCGCATAATTGAAGCTTTATCCAATTGAATGACATCTTCTTTTTTCAGTGGCAACATCTGAGCCAATTCACTGAAAATTTCCGTTTCCCGAGACCGACGACATCGGGCAGCATCCCGGGAACGTTCTTTACGTTTTTCATTGTTCCTTCAAGAAACCAAATAAAAATGTACTCATGTATAAAAAAAAATCAAAATTCTTTTTGTTCATTTCATTATAAATATAAATTAGCAAGAATTTGAAAAAAAAAACTTCATTTACGGAGATTGAATAGTTATTCAAAAAAAAGCAAGCACTGAATGCGTAATGAATATAAGAAGTGAATAATTTACGTCAGAAACCCGAAAATACTCAAAATACGTTTAATAACAGATCACGTATGCATATCGCAGCTCATAATACACATAGACGGCAACCAGATCTCCAACTTTCATCATAAAGGCTGATCACACTCACACGAGTACAAAGTCGGAATGTAAAATTCATTTCAGAATCCTCTGCCGAAATAAGCAACAACATTAAGAGACGGGAATAAATTCGAATTACTGCGTAAGCAGAAATATTTCTCAGATTTTCGCTTAACATTATCGAAAGGTGGGCTTGAAAATAAAACATTATACAGATATATAAAAAAATGGCAATAATTGCTTACGCATTCAATGTTTGTTAAACAAATGTTAATGCTTTGAATAATAAATTTCTTTTTTTAAAATCTTATTTTAACAAAAATATTCTCAACAAAACATTTAAGGAAGTTATACCCGCTTTAGGGTTAATATTCCGCCCCTTCTTCCTCTTATCTATTTTTAGTACATAAATAAAAATTGAAAAGTTTCCTGTTTATTAAGGGCAGTAACGTCATTTGACTGATCATATATAGCTTGAGTGAATAAGTACTTTTTTATTGTTCGCGTAAATTGATAGCGTGGGACAAGCAATTTTCTTATGACGGCTATCTTCGATATTTGCTGTCATCGCTAGTCGATAAGGTAGCAGTATGATCGGCAAGAGTAGTGTTTGGCTAGGTCTTAGATCTTAAATTCTCCGCTGCAATGTTTTGCAAGAATTTCGACTTTTTTCTTATTCCACCATTGACAACCATTCAAAGTTCGCCGAGTTTTCTCTAAACTTGACACCTCCACTGTCGTAGGCGTTAGCGCATAGGTTCAATGCTTTCAATAAAGCTTCTTATGGAAAAGATTACGTTGCACAAAAAATTCAAAATTTCCACTTGGTTAAGATGACGCGCACGTTATGTGTTTATACCTTAAATCAATTGTGGCGCGGTAGAAATTGCATGCATATACACTTGCAAAACCCCGAACGACTTCATAAGAAGGCAAACTTTTATGGTGCCAAACGATTCAGAGTCATTTTCGGAATCGAATTGAACTGGTGTTCAGAATTGATTTAAACTTTCTGTCTGATATTTTGCGTTGAATTTACACAATTATATATTTGTCCGACGTCTGCATCTTTTTGTTGAATTTACCTTTTTAGACTTTACACCACCTGTTATATAAATGTTATGTGTTAAGTTTGTGTGGATGTACGCAACACCTAGAAGGACTTCAGATGAATCCACCTTTTATTTTACCGATCATTTCAAAATCGCTTTCTGAATCAATGTAACCTTGTCTGTTCGTCTGTCCAATCGGCAGTCCGCAAGTTTTAAGATATTTCGATAAGGTTTGATGCACTGCCGTGTTTTGGCCCACGTTTTAGGTGAATGTTATTGAAAAATATTCATGTCCGACCACTTTCGAACGCTTCCCATAGTTGTCACATGAATACCTGCATTTAATACAGTGCTTTAACTTGTTAAACACTACAGACTACAGAACTGAAGAGTCTCTTGTAAGATAACGTTATGGTTAGTAATCAAATGAAAAAAATCGGTGTAGATTTGTCATATATTTTAATTAATCTCAGATAAGTTACTACCGTAGAAACTGTGATGCAACACTTTTGCCCTTCACTTTATTTCCATTAAAAGCAAATTTTTCAATTTCAAAAATTTTTTAAATGTCTGAAAAAAATATGATAACTCAACAAACTAGGCTAAATAGTTTAAGCGTACAAGTAAACAAACAAAACAAATTTGCAAATGGATAAGAAAGAAAAAAAAAAGTGAATAACAAGCAAAAAAAAATAGCTATGCAGATACAAGTACTTATTGCCAGTTTAAGGAGTATTTTTGGATACTTTTCATCTCAAGTCGTCGTAGGGCTTTTCGCTTGCGTTGAAAATTTTCAATTCTTAAGGATACTTATTCATTGTAAGGATAGTTTATGCCAAACTAACGTCTTTAAAACTGCTTGTATATAGCATAGTGTTCAAAAAATGAGGGGAATTTTTATTAAATTTGTTAGTTTTCAAAAATCATTGATAACAATGCCAAATAATTACGAAAAATGCTTTTATTAGAAAATTGCTTAACATTAAGGTTCGGCCAGCTGTTAATGATAACTGTAGGAACTTAAGAGACGTCTTCGGAATTTAACGTCCACAACACTAGTAAACGATTAATTAGACAAACCCGACCTTTTGTATATAGGGTTATGCGCAGGCGAGAAATTGCGTTCTTCGACGTGGAAGACAATCCTAAACCACTTAGAGAATATCTATCAGGGTGGAGTGCCAGATACAAAATATTGTGTATGATGGACGACATAATGAGCGATATCCGTGATCCGCTTAGCTCGTATTACAATGCTTTTGGTTAATCGGCACTACGCGACATAACCACTCGCGCATTCAGATTATCCGCACAGCCTGGATTGCCATCTAATCTTTTCTTTATGGATTTCAATGCTCAAAGCAAAGTCAATGTGCTAAATCCTAGAACTTGATCGTAGCTAATTTAAAAAAGGCTGCAAGTAAATAATTTTTGATATCCCCGATGGCATCTCTACCGAGAGTTCCATTAACAAGGGTCCGGATTCACCAAGAAGAACGTTACATTGATATTCGAAAGGCGCTTACTTTTTACCTTGTTTATGAGAAAAGCTGAAAGCTATGAAGTTGCTTATGTCACGTTTTGATTGGCTATGTAAAACGTTCATGCAATGCGGTATACAACAGAAATTAAAAATTGAAGTGTACAAAATTTTGGTGTTGCAGGCCAGACTAGCCTTTAACGCCGACCACGGCCCAAACGGTTGTATTAAGAGAGATCAGCAAGTCATCTGAGCCGCAAAGTAATACTCTGAGGAACACTGCTAACAACAACAATTCTTGAGAATTATAAAAAAGTGGCCAAGAGACAAAGTAACGCTGCCTTTTACCACGACCATGCTCGTTCAAATATTCCAAAATCCCTCCCAACACCACTACGTCTACTCCACCCGCTGTGGTCACTAGACATTGCTCTTACCACTGATTAATGCTCCTTTCAATCGCTTGGTGTTTTTCTTAACAAGATTTTAATTTTTATGAAGACAACAAGATATATCTCTTCTTGAATAATCCCAAAAGCTCATCTAAGTTTTTGTAATTTCGAATTCAAGCGGCTGACCGAAGGGTGTGGTAAAGAGATGGCGACCGATGGAAAATATTCCGTAACGTATGAGCTACAACAAATGTTAATAAAAAAAAAACTTAATACAAATTATTTAGTAGACTCATCTATAAGGTCCCTTTCCCAACATGATCGATCGATCTATAAATAATAAGAGATGAAAGCATTTTTCAAAATCTCAGACAAATGAAAACATTTTTAAATATAATTGCATGTCACACTTAAATGGAAAATAGCTGAAAATGTAATTTAAAAGGCAATTAGATGTTATAGGAAAGCTTTACGGATGGATGGCTCATTGGGAACAATAACATCATATAATGAAATTTATGTATTTTTCTAATGCAGTCAATGACCTACTAAACGAAATAGAACAAACAAAACAAAATATTTTTCAGTTGTGGAGGAAAGAGAAGCGAATGTAAAAAGCGTGAAAAAACAATTATTTAATGATAGGTAGCAAATAAACACATAATAATTTTCATGTAAACACATGAGAAGAACATTCATTTTTCATTTTCCTCTCGATAAGTGCATAAGTTTTGCTTACGCGCTACAACACTAACAGATAACTTATGTTAATGTTATGTGTGTCACTATCCAACACAACCATATAAGATTTTAATATTGTTACGATATTTGATTCTCTTGCTACGGTTCGTGATTTTATTTATAAGCAATTTGTTTAAGGGTAAGACTATTTCCAATTTACTTAGTTTGACAGCAATCTCAATTTTAACTTTCTTTTCGACTCAAATATACTTCTCCGACTGACCCTGCTTTCCGCAAATATTCCGTTTATATACATTTTTACAAGCATATTACTATTACCTAAGTTCATGGCTTCATTTTTATTCCATTAATCCGCTTTTCCGCTAATATTTTTCGTCGGCCTTTAGCTGGATGACACGTCTCTAGGCATTTTAATTTCTGGGAAAATCAATTAGTTGAAATAAAGTGGATTTGGGATTTTCGTAACAAAATAAACACAATATCGACCATGCTATGCATTGCATGTGGAGTTATTATCCTAATGATTGATATCCTAACGGTAATATAATCTGTCAAACTTCTGTTTAACGACATCCAAGAGATTGATACAAAACTTGAACCTAAAAATGATATCACTGGATCATGCTAAATTTCTTTGGTCATAACCGTCCAATGCATAAAATTTATTCATTAAACTTCTTTGTATTGTTGACGGATAAACTTTCTCGGAATGGCCAAAAACTGAAGCTAATATATATTTGCATTATCTAAATAGCTGGCAATTCACTTCAAACTTATATTATTATAGTAACAGTCTTTGTCTCCTCCCTGCAGATTGCGATAGCGTCCCCATTTCACATCAAGTGCAAAATACGGCTTAAATTATTAATACATGATTCTAGTCCTGACAAAAAATGCGAAATCGGGGTAGTTACCATCTACTCTTCCGTTTATCATCTCGCTTCTCAAGGATCTTTAAAAAATTAAAACACTGATTCCTTACCCTTCGATCAGTAACTGCCCTATCCTATTTGCAGCAAAAATAACGAGTTCTTGCTTCGCATCTAATATGCACGACGACAGTTGATTATAAAACTTTATCTACCTCTCCGAGAAGAAAACATTTTTACGTCCC